CCTTCAGCACCCCTGTGTGTGTGTGGGGACACCTTCAGCCCCCCTGTGTGTATGGGGACACCTTCAGCACCCCTGTGTGTGTGTGGGGACACCTTCACCATCTCAGTGTGGAGAGAATCTTGCCAAAGGCTGATCCAGCTCGCCCTCCCAGGGCTGAGCAGGTACAGTTTTGGCTCATCTGCCCTTTTTTTCCTCCTCCCAGCCCCTCAGAGAAAGGGAGGATGAGCAGTACAGCCGGCTGGCTCCCACCCGTGCCCGCAAGTGAAGTGGGAAAACTCTGAGCCTCTGAGACTGCCTTCATCAACGAGCTGGTTTTGCTTGGAGGTCCCTCCAGGGTGGGCTGCTTGCAGCCCTGTGCTCATTCCTTGCACTTCTACATTCCTGCCATTAAAGATGAGCCTGCCCCACAGCCTCCCTGCTCCATCTGTTGTGTCCAGGTCCTGGGAAAGGCACCCACAGGATGGGATCTGGTGTCTTGTAAGGTGCACATGGGATGGGATTTGGTCCCTGCACATGGGATGGGATTTGGTCCCTGCACATGGGATGGGATTTGGTCCCTGGGAAGGTGCACATGGGATGGGATTTGGTCACTGGCAAGGCCAGGTCTCCACTCCCCAGCCCCATGCAGACACAGCTCATGTGGTCTGAGCCCCCAAAACAGGACACAGATCCCAGACAGGGCCAGCCAGCATCACCTCAGCCTTGGAAGGACAAAGAAACATTCCTCTGGTGCAGGGGTAAGCACAGGGGCAGAGCTGTTGCCACTGCAGGGGTGCTGATCCTGCTGAGACAAGGAATGTGTGGGATGGCACTGGCTGGGGTGAACACCGGGGCAAACTTGTACATTGATGTGACCCAAAAATGGTGGTAGAAACACTGGGGTGTAGCAAAATTTAGGGGGTTTTGAAAGCAAAATTTAGGCCCTGTACACCCAGAGCCTGCTGGTGGGCTGAGCAGGCGTCTCTGCAGCAGTGCTGGCTTGCAGAAGGTGAGAACATGGCCCTGGGTGGTTTTGGAGCTGCTGGGGGTTGGTGCTGTGCTGTGTGTATCTCACCATCTCCCTGCTCGGGGTGCAGGGCCTGTTGTGGCAAACAAGCCCAGCTGTGCCTCTAAACCGCATCCTGGCACTGCTGGGCTTCACCTCCCCTCCTGCAGCCCAACCACCCCCAGCTCCTGCTCGCTGCTGCTTCCTCTGCTCAGGGGCAGAAACGGGGCTGGCTCGACCTGAAACAGGCATCAAAACAACCCACGGGCCCTGCTTCGCCTGTGCCATTGCTGCTGGGCCCTTTGGGGGTTTTACTGCCTGCCTCTGCCGCTTCGGCAAATGGAGGTCGGGCTGTGAAGGGGAGAGCAGGACGAGGTCAGAGGCAAATCCCCCTGAGAAGGATCTGCTCACAGCCCAGGGAACCACCAGAAACAAGTGGAGGCCCTCAGGGCAGGAATTGAACAGGAGCAGGGAGAAGTGTGAGGGGAAAAGGAGACCAGGAGCCACGGGGTGAGCCTGCAGTCCTTTAATGAGAAGGAAATCTCTTGCCAGTGTGCTCATTTCTGTTCCCTGATGGCAAACCCAAACACATCCCTGTCCAGTGGCCACCTGGCTTATCCCAAAATGCCAGAGCTTCAGCAGAGCTGCAGAGAGCTGGGAACAAGCTGGGCAGAAGCATTTGGCCCCAGTGCTGCTGGCTTCCAGCCTGTCATCCCTGGGAACTTCAGATGCCTCTGGGCCCCAGGCCTGCATACACCTCCCGCTGGCCTTTCCGGATGGGCTGTGGGAACAGCAGAGATCTCAGTTCAGGAATCCTCACAGTATGTGGAGAAAAGCACAACAGAGCAGGGGCAGTGCACAGGGAGCTGCAGTTCTGCTCCCAGAGAAATCCCTGTGGCAGCACCAGGAGCAGGGCCTGCACTCTCACCACCCTTTTTCCCCCACTGCCAGGAAATCTTGGAGCTTGACTGGATGTTTCTTCAAGGATAAATGACCTGGCTATCAGCCCCAGCCCTGGCTATCCCTCCCCAGCCAGCAGGGATGGAAAGTTCAGGGACAATCCTCACCTCATAGTCCGGGTTTGGGACAGGGGGAGGACGCTGCATCTTCTGGCCTGAAACAGAGGCACAGAGAGGGTGAATCCTTGGGGATTCCTTCCACGAGGAACCTCCAGGCTGATCCCAGGGCCAGGCACACCATGGAGAAACTCCCATGGGTTTATTCCCAGCTCTTGAAGAGGCAGCTGCTGCCAGGAGCTGGAGGGTTGGCTCCAGCACGAGGGCCTGGGAAATGGCTTTGGCACAGCATCCACTCCCATCCCTGCACATCTCCAGCCTGGAGGGCACACGGGGGAATCAGGAGCACTGACTGGGAGCTCGTGGGGAGCAGAGGATGCCCCGTCACGCCGTGGGGAGGAGGGTTTCACTGGGTGCCCCGAGGCTGGCACGGGGAGCAGGGATGTCTGGAATGGCTCTCACCTCGTGGCCGACTGTCCCCACCAGCGCTGGCTCGTCCCTTCCTGCCTTTGCTGAAGTAATAGACCAGGATCAGCACCCCCAGGGTGGTGAGGAGGTCTGCAGTGATGATCCCTGCCACAGTCAGGGCATCCAGCTCCTCACAGTTGGCACACACTGCAGGGAATGAGGGTGGGGAGATGCTCAGAGCCAGGGAGAGCCCAGGTCCCGCTCACCTGAGCACTGGCACAGGGCTACAGGCAGCCAGGAAGGGGAAAAGGGCAAACTGAGAGGAAAAGGGAGATTCCTTCTGCCAAAAAATGGCTCTGGGACTCTTGCACTGCCCACACAGAGGGAATGGTCCCGGCAGCACCACATTCACCCACCCCAGCACTGCAAACCAAGTGTCAGCTCCCAAAATCTGCCATTGGCATGTGCGGGGTCAGGGCTCCGCGCTCACCTCTGGCATTCAGGTACAGCTGGCGCTTCTTATCACCCAAGGAACAGCTCAGGTTGGCAGGAGTGCTGTCGTGGTCCTTTATAACAAACTTCCTCTCCGTGGTGTCCTCTGTTCTCCCAGACAGGTCCCACCGGATGCCCTCGTCCTCAAAGGGACACGTGATTGTCACCGTGGTGCCAGAAATCTCCACCAGGAACTCCTCTTGGGAAGAAACACCAATGAGAAAGGAAACCAAAAGCAAAACTCAAACATTTCTACTGTTTTTTCAGTCATTTACAGTCTTTGCATCCCACTAATTACTACAGAATGCAGTAAAATTCACTTACCCTCCAGTTCTTCATCTGCAAAACAGAAAATAAAGAGTGTTAAAAAATCATCTCACCATTGCCTCACTGCTTGGTCTTGTTGGAAATGCTCAACACTGTTGATAATTAGGGACCAATTTCTCCAATCAATAAGATTCCTGCCAGTAAATGAACAGTGAATATTTCTATCCTGAAATATTTACAAAATTCAGATCTTTCCGTTTGACTCTTAGTCCTTCCTCACTTTTGAGGCATATTTGGGGTTTTTAACATGATAAATAGTTAAGGAAAAATACACTTACCCTGCTGAGCTGTGGTGCCAACTGAAAAGAAATGAATAAGAAATATTAAGTAATTGAGCTTCAGATATCACACACCTTTCCTACTGCCAGGACATCCTTTCTGAACTCAGCTGCTTGAAAGAGATGTTTCTAGTCCCACATTCGTGCTGAAGGCATCAGAAATATTCTGGTGGTGAGACAGGATGTTGTTCTGAACTTGGAGGCCATTTTTAACACGGTTTAATGCAGAATGGAAACCTGAATCATTTTCCGACCCAGCTCGGAAAAAGGGTTGTTATTGCAAGAGGTAAAACCTGAAATTTGCTTTATTGTCATGGAGCAAGCACTGCTGGAAAACCCTGCTAAGAACCTCTGTCCTCTGCAAGAGAACTCACTGCAGAGTGGGACCCTGATGTTGATTTAATGCTGTAAAACAGTTTATCTGTGTGGATTTTCTGCCTTGTAAGAAACAGCTTGCTCTGTGGAAAGCTCTGGAGCTGGAGTATTAAAGAAAGAGTTTTTAGGAGCTGTGAATCAGATCTGTGATTTCCTTTAAAGACATTTGTCTTCCTGAAAAAAGTAACACAAGTTAATGATTGCAGGTTTGAGTTCCACAGACAGCGGACTTGGCTGGAGAAAAGGTGACCCGATGCTTTTTTATTTCACACAGATTAATTTAAATCTGAAAAAAGAACTGGCCACTGATAAACCACATTTTCTACCTTCACCAAGATCGGTATTTGCAGCACTTTGGCAGAGCAGTTGTAGTTTTATTGTACCAACTCTGAGTGGATTACCTCGCACGCTTATCTCTCCTCATCACTGGCTCCTTTAGAGCCTTTATGGGTGCTCTGTTCTTCATCCTAAACCAGCGGGGCATCCCAAAGCTCGGGTGGGAGCTGCCACCACACCCCGAGAGCCCGCCAAGCCTCACGTTATTTACCCGGGATCGCAAAAAGCTTTAAGAGAAGTGCTCAGATAAAGGATAAAACCAAAATTAAGAGTGTGGAACCTTTACGGTTCGCTCTGCACCGAGCTCCGACCCAGCTGCCTGAGGTTTGGGGACTCACCTGCACACAGCAGCAGCCCCAGGAGGGGCAGGGACTGCTCCAGCCTCATCCTCGTGTTCCTCCTGCTGCTCCTCTCCACCACATCAGACCAGCGTGGCTGTGGCAGGAAAGAACACGGTGGCTTTCCTAGAAAGAGGCTCTGGATTGTTTTTCCCAGAATTGCTGCGGACCCGAGCGGGGCTGGGGGACTCACACTTTCCAGAGCAGCCAAGGCAGACCCAGACACGCGAAATAAGCCCAGGTCAGGAAGTGCGGAGCTTCAAAATGTCTTCATGGGACGTCACCACCAGCCAGGGGAGGCTGCTCTGCTCTGCAGGGCTCGGGACAGCTCCTGGAGCTGCCCTGGGAGCAGCAGGAGAGAGAAACAAGCTGGAATCAGATTTGCCATCAGGACCTTCCCAACAGCTTCTCAAAGTGAGAGTTTGAGAGGTTCCAACTGCGGCAAACGACTTCATGTGGAATCAGGGACGGGTTGGGTGGGAAGGGACTACAAAATGCATCCCATCCCTGATATGGGCACCTTCCACTGTCCCAGGCTGCTCCAAGCCCCATCCAGCCTGGCCTTGGGCACTGCCAGGGATCCAGGGGCAGCCACAGAGTCTCTGGGCACCCTGTGCCAGGGCTCCCCACCCTCCCAGGAGCAATTCCTTCCCAATATCCCATCCATCCCTGCTCTCTGTCAGTCTGAACCCATTCCCCCTTGTTCTATTCCAGAGCTGCTGACAAAGAGCCCCTCTCCATGCTCCCTGCAGGTCCCTTTCAGGCACGGGCAGGTGGGAACACAGGAGCAGCACCCAGGGCTCAGCACCCAAAGCCGCTGCACGGGCACAGAACCGAGGCCATCGCTCCCTGCGCATCCCCTGCGCTCAGCCCAGCTCCACGGGCTCTCCGGAGATATCCCAGCAGCATTTTTGGGAGCTTCGGGAGCTCCCCTGGAAGTGACCTGGCCCCGCTAGAGGGGGCTCCTGTCCCGGCCAGCGCCGCACGCCGGGGCCGGTCCCTCCCAGCCGGGTTTGGGGCAGGACTGACCCCCGCGGCACCGGGCCAGGCGCGCCCCAGGCTCTGCTGCCCTCGGCATGGACACAGAGGGAATGTTGCTGTGCCCCATTTCCTTTATTGGGGCGCTCTCTTTGGCCGTCAGGGCTTTCTTTTCCTTATTTGTGTTTCCAAGTGGAACGTCACAGAGTTTGGGTTGCTGGTGAGAGTGTGCCAGGGACGTGTTCCTCTCTTAAAAGCTGGGAGTCCACGTGTTTTGAAAGAAGATGAAGGTTAGCAAAAGTCTGCAGGCAAAGGTGGGAACAGGGGCTGCTCCCAGCCCTGGGCAGACACAGAATTAGGAAGTTACAGCAAATTGGCTGATAAATTTTAAACACAACCTTAACAAAGCCCCAGAGTGATAAATATTCACTGTGGCAAGGGAACAAAATATGTTGGAATAGTAAGTGAGAGGAAATCTGGGGAGATGAAGTGATGAAGGGCTAACACGGGCCCAAATCACTCCCAGGAAAATGGAGATCCTTGGTGTCCCGGAGCTGTTAGCAGGGATGTGGTAGCACACACAGGATTCCCTGTCCTGTTCTGGGGACAATCCAGGGAGCTGGCAGCCTCAGTGCTGTTTTTCCATGGCCAAATGGCTGAAGAGAGCTCCCCAAACACCCAGGGACTCGGACACACTCCCCTTGCACCCCTGAGAAGGAAATCGGCACCAGCCGCAAGTGAGACCGGTAACCTGGGGTGACTTCTTGGAACGGGATCGTGAACCGAACACAGACACTGCCACGGGCAGCGATTTATGGCTCTCGAATGCAAACATCCCCATTTTGCCATCACACAGGCTCCGATGGGTTTCGTACTCTCACAACTTCCACGTGCCGCCTGCAGATTATTGTGTCCCACGGAATTTCCCTTGTGGAGCACGGTGGTGTTTCCCCAGCGGTGCCGGCCGGGCTGGACCCATTTTCCGCTTGATTCTCCCAAAAACTTCCCAAGCTCCAGGCTCCCAATCCTCGGCTGCAACCAAGGAACGTTCCAATCATTTTGGGGTAGGTGTCTGTGTTTGGTGGGACGTTCCCATCCTCTGGATGAGGGCCCGCTCTGCGGCCACCGCCTGTCAGCTTTGGGCTGCTCTTTTTCGGATCGTTTGCAGGTTTTTTTGTCGAGAGAATGGCTCTCATTCCTTCGAGCCACCTATGAACACCTCCAGGCAAATGTTCTTTTACCTCCCACAAGAGGGGAGTGGTTTCGGGTGGCGGCTGGGAGGAGGAATGATTGCAACACAAAAGAACAGGGGAATATGGGAGGGAGAAGAAATTAATCTTACCTTGGGAATCTCGCTGATTTACGGCAGAGGTGAGCGGGGCTGGGCGCACCTTGGCAAGGAGCGCAGGGCGAGCGCTCCTCTTCCCTCGCCGGCAGAGTTGGGGCCAAGGAATCATTCCCGTCGTGCTGGGAAGACTTTGAGAAACTCATCCTTTACCCGGTCCCGGAGAAGCCGGGGCGGATTTGTCCTTGCAGCCCCGGCCTGGTGTCCCCGATGCGCGGCCGCACCTGGCTGGGCGCTGCGCTCGTCCTTGGGGCGCAGCTCCGAGGTAAGGAACCCTGTCCCCTCTCCTTCTGACCCCTTCAGCTGGCCCTAGGGCAGAGGATTTCCCCCCGTGCTTGCTGCGGTTCTTTCCGTGCGGGGCTCGCTGGAAGTGGCACGAAGCGCTTGAGTTTCTTCCCCAACAGGTTTTGGTGTATTGGAGCGGAAGAACATCCATCTCCTCCTCTGATCTCCTCCTCTGCTCGGGTTTCAACCTTTCCTTTTTCTCTCCTGCCAGGAATCTGAACTTTACTCCCAGCCTTTTTTTTTTTTTTTTTTCCTTGTTACCTTTGTTCCTAAACAGTCTGGGATTGTCCAGGAGCCCCGGCTTCAGATCCTTTACACGGCAAAGGTTCCAGACACGAAAAACCCACTTGAATTTTCGGTGGTTTATATCAAAACACCTGGATTTTAAGAATAACACATCCTCCTTTCCCAAATGCATCAGCACACGGATGTAATCTGCCTTGGGGAAAAAAAAAAAAAAAGTATTTTACTCTTATTTCTCGCTTAGTTCTTTTCATGGAGTTTAAAATGAAAAGATTTGGCACTGAATCCGTGTTTGAGCCACGTGATCCCTGCCGGTGAGGTTTTCCACGTGTGAATACCTTCCATGTTTTGGCATTCCAAGTATTTTTCCCTTTGAGATAATGAATTATGTGGAAGGAAGTATTTAGTCATAAATTATTTACAAATACGTCTTTATTATGAAGTTACATTTTACAACCCTAGATAAGCTTTCTTTTTTTTTTTTTCCTTGAATCACACTGGGCTGAGTTAACTTCCTGTGACAGGATATGGATATTTTCTATTTCCTTCACCAGTAAACCATTAATTTTGCTTATTTTTCACTTTCCTCCTCTCATTTCCTTGCTCTCCCTCCTGCTGGTTGTGCCTCTTCCAGGGGAGCATCGAGTGAGCAATGCTCAGTTATTTTTAATGCAGCAGCCATGATGGTTGTGGGGATGTTTCTTGGAAAAACAAATCCACATTTACCTTGAGGATTTCCTCTGCAATTCTTCAACCTGACTAAATTTACCTGCAGCTGCCCAGCTGGGCTATAAAGCCTCTAAAACTGGCTCTGGTTATATCAGTGAGAGCAGTTTCATCATGGTGCACACGAGGTTGAGTAGAAGGTGTTTAAAGGGAAGTTCCAGCATGGCAAATAGCAATTTCTGGGTGGGTTTCAGTCCAGTTTGAAAGGGTTTTTCTGTATAAATCTGCAGTAGCACCCCACTAGAATGTGCCTGGGACACTGAGGTTATCCCTTGCCAGCTCAATAAGGCTCCCAGGAGCTCAGGCTGATAAGAGCAGTGATGAGCTCAGCGCAGACAGTGATTTCCCCCCTGTGTTTGCCCTGCAGCGCTGTGGCTGGCAGCAGCCGTGGAGGTTCACACCGCCAAGGAGGTGGTGGCCGTGAACGGGACCAACCAGCGGCTGAAATGCACTTTTTCCAGCAGCAGCCCCGTGAGCCAGCAGCTCTCAGTGAGCTGGAACTTCCAGCCCGAGGACCTGAGCGCTCATGAGCCGGTGAGTGAGATCCCCGTGCTCCGTTTCAGGGCTCCCCCTGCCCCAGCCCCCAGCAGTGACTGGCTACAGCCACACCCAAAACCCACGAGTCCCTTTGGACCTTCGTCATTTGCAGTGATTAATCCACGTTTTGTTTATAAACCCTGCCTAAAAAACACGCTCATGTTTAGTTTTGGGTGATCAGGGTTAAAATGTTTGTGGCTTTCCGAAGCTGGATGGGCTGACACCGCAGCCGAGCGTGTCTTAGGTGACATCCTGAACCTGACAAGACTTCAGGAATCTTCCAGGTGCCTTCCAACCCAAGCCATTCAAATGTTTCTGTGATTTTTATAGGTATTTTACTACCTGAAGGAGCCCTACAAGCCCCCCTCGGGAAGATTTAAAGAGCGAGTCACCTGGGATGGGAACATCGAGCGTAACGATGTTTCCATCATCATCTGGAACCTGCAGCCCAGTGACAACGGGACCTTCACCTGCCAGGTGACAAACTGGCCAGATGTCTATGGCACCATCGGGGAGGTGCGACTCCGGGTTGTGCAGAAAGGTGAGAGGCCAAGAAACCCCCCAGAGTTGTGTGGATTTAACCAGAGTGACCCTCTTGCACATCTGGGAAAATTATGGGACAAAAGGGGTTGTAAGTAGAAGGCATGAGGGAAAAAGAGGAGCCCGAGGACAGGTTTTATTCACAGATACAGGATCCCAGCCTCCTTCCTCCTGTGTGACCCTCTGCTCCATTCCTCTGTCTCTCCCCGTGCAGTGAGTTTCTCAGAAATCCATTTCCTGGCCGTGGCCATCGGATCTGCCTCTGTCCTGATGATCATCGTGGTGACAGCTGTGATCATCTGTCGGCAGCGTCGCAGGAAAGCGCGAGACAAGAGGCTGGAGGTGGCAGACACGGAGCGGTGAGGACAGGGCAGGGAGGGCGAGGCTCCTGGGAGGGCTTGACAAGTTTTATCTCCACGGCCTTTCTGAACGATTGGCTCGGACCCTGCTCTGAGCATCTGCAATGCAAAACTGCCAAGCCAATTAGCGGTAATTGGCTGTGTGCAGGCAGAACAGAGCCCCGGGATGGACAAGCTCTGGAGTCCTCGTTTGGCTCTTGCCCTTCTCAGTGGCTCCTCGCTCAGAGAAGGATGCAGCTGCTGTGGTGGTGGGCAGGTGGCCACCCTGTCCCCTGAGCTGTGGTCGCCACACGGGTGGCACACTCAGCATCTCACCTCGGGTGTGCTGTGTGTGACTCAGGACATCCTGCTGCTCAGAGTGACACTGATTTGGGCTTCTTTTCTCTTTTTTCTTCACCCGTTTTTATAACAGTAAAGAAAAGGAGAGCCTGAAGATGGGGGAGGAAAAGGAGCCCATTCCACTGGAAGATTAAAGGCCTTCCCTGGTGTGCACAATGCAGGTACCCATCCAAACCTTCTCCAAGAGAGATTGCCTCGGGTATTTCCCTGCCATGAACAGTCTGAGGCCACAGTCACACTTTGCTGCTGAGGATCCTTCAGAGAGATCTGAACAATCCCTGAACAATCACAGCCTCTTAAATGTACAAGAGATTTCTCCACCCTGGTGTTAAGGAGCATTTGTAGGAAAGCCATTGTTGCTGCTTTCCATGGCATTCCTGCTTTGTAGATGAAGAGGGATGAACTACTTCCCTTTTGTCAGTTTTGAATCTGCTTTTTGATTACTTTAACCTTTATTGTTTTAAAATTGCAGCAGGAAGACTGGCACTGTTTCCATATTCCCTGTCTTTGCTTAAGCGTGTCAGCATAAATTTTACCCACAGTTTCTGAGGTCAGCAGTTGCCTCTATTATTTTGGTTTTTGACAATAACCCTGAGTAATGGATGTTTGTTTTTCTTACAATCTTTCTTCTCAGGTGCTTCCAAAGCAGTTGGTGAAAGCTTGTAATTTGGGGTGTTAGAACAAAGCTGGATTACAGACGCCCCACGCTGCCTCTGCTCAACCTGAAAGTCTTGCACGGAAAGAGGGTGACTGTACATGAGTTGTAAATTCCCTCCAGTGAAGCAGAGCAGGAGGATCTTGCCCCATGAACAAAGAACTTTCCTTCATCTTCTCACCTGCGGAGTGTGAGCACGGCTTCTCTGGAAGATGAAAGTGCCAAGACTGACTGAACCGAGGGCTGGGAGGTGTTTGAGCAGATGCACTCCTGCACCTTAGAAACCACAACGTGCCTTTGTGTTGCCCTGGTTTTATTCCCTGAGAATCCTCCCTGAGAAGGAAGGCTGAGCAGTGATGTCTCAGCTGGTACAACAAACATCCTTGGAATCCTTTTCTACATTAGATGGACAGTGTTAGAGCTGGGCAAGGTGTGCTGTTTGTTATTAGGGGTAACATTCACCAGCCAGGCTGGTTTGCACATCCATCTCTTGCAGCTTTGGGAGGGTTTGGGGGTTGAGGAGAGTTTTCTGTCTGGGTTCAGCAGGTCTCCCCATTCCCATTCCCACTGTCATTATCCCAGTGCTCCCCTCTGTTCCCCAAAACTGGAACCCATGGATCTCTAACAGTGTCTAACCAGCCCCAAACCCATCCTGTCACAGTATGTATCCATCCCCAAATCAAAACCTTGGCCTGTTTGTTTGTAGAGTGTTTTTATGGCTTTATAATGTTCCAGCCACATTCCCTGACTGTTCCCTGGCTGTTCCCTGGCTGGCTGTTTTCATTTTCACTCACCTGTGTTGTAAATAAAGGCACCTTGCTGAGAGCTGTGCTGGTGTGGCAGGGGGCTGTGATCTGACACCTCAGATGAGCAGATTGTTCATCCCCAAAATCGGATTCATTACCTGGCGTGCAACAAACCAATAATTAAATACTTCAGGGAGATGTTGATTATTGGTTTCAGAAGAGCCCAAGCCTGGGTGCTTGGCAGTGTCCCACGAATCCAGCACATCCCACTGGACTTTTACCACCATTATTTATACACAGAATTCAGGGTTAGTAACTTTCCAAGTGCAGCCCCTCTCTGGGTTATTAATTCCCATACAAGTTATGTCACCCCAGCCAATTCTGCCCCTGCTCTGGGGCAGGCTCAACACCTGGCCAGGGTCTTTCTGACCTGGAGGTGTGAATTTTGGTATTATAACTGAGATAGTTCAGCTCTAGGATATATAAACCTTGGCTGTTTTTCCCAGTTAGCAATGTACACACAGACACACATCAACATCTTGATTTATTACATCCCTAATACTTGTCAGGGTGTCCTTGGCTAAGGGATGCAGCTGCTGTCTGTTCTCCTGATTAGGTCTTTTTTGCTGACTGAGCTTGAAAATCTACAAAGATCTCACAGAGAGGAACATCCTGGCTCGGTATAATCCTGACACATTCCTCCTTTTGCGGAAGCACCCATTAAAAAAAAAAAATTAAAAAAAATAGAAAAAAGGAAAAGTGCAGCGAGTGGGCTGGCGGTGACAGGAGCCGCTCGGGAATTTGGGGACAGCCGCTCGTCCCGGACCCAGCACGGGCGCCCAGATGTGCCCAGATGTGCCCAGATGTGCCCAGCCAGGCGCCGCGGCCATTTCGGGGCTGCCCCGCCCTCACCTGCGCCAGGTGAGCGCCATGTTCCGGGGCTGAGCCCGGCCGGGATGCGGCTCCCAGGGGCGGCCCGCGGCCGCCTCCTCCTCCTCTTCCTCCCGCGGGGGGCTCTGCTGCTGCTCGGTAACGGGGGGCTCCGGGCCGGGCTGGGACGGACGGGACGGGAGCGGCGGCGCCCGCGGGGTCCCGCGTGGGAACCGGGCCGGGAGCGCTCGGGATGCGGCTCCCGCCGCCCTGGATGGTCCCGGGGCAGCGGGAGGCTCGGGAAGGGTGGTCCCGTGGTGGTCCATGCTCTGGGGGAGGTGGGAAGCTCGGGAAGAGCCGTCCGGGAGCGGCGGGAGGCTCGGACAAATGTCTTCCCGGGACGGAGGGAGCGGGATCGGCCGGAGCACGGACGGGGCCGCAGCCGCTGGAAACGAGAGCTGGGAGCGCTCGGTGCTGCGGGGAGACTTTTGGCCCGGTGCGTGCGAAATTCAGGCGCTGCGGCCAGAAACACAGGGCAGAATTGCTCTGAAGTACCTAAAGCCGGTGTTTTGCAACCCCTCAGAGCCCCAGCTGATCCCATTTCTCAGCTCTTTGTCTCCACATCTAAAATCCTGCGCTGGTACTGCCCAGGTGTCTGATTTGGAGTCGGTTCCCGTCCCACGGAAAATCCGTCAGGGAAGTTTTCTGCTTTCCTGCGAATTTCAGTGCTGGGGAGGGACTCACTGCTGTGCTTCAGTCTTTGAATTCCGGCTGACCTGCACGTGTGTCGGTATTTTGGGGACAATTCCGCACCTCGCAGGTAACAAGAAATGAATCCCTGCCTTTTGTGCCCGTTCCATCAGGTGTCTGCAATGCTCTCTCCCTGGAAATTAAAGCCAGTCCTAAAGTCCGAGCTTTCGTGGGAGAGCAAGTGCTGCTGAAATGCTCCTTCAAATCCAGCTCCCCCATCACGGAGAGCCTGCTGGTGGACTGGACCTACCGCCCCCTCACTGGGGGCCACATGGAGCCAGTAGGTGGAACAGGGCCAGGCCCCTGGCCATGCTGAAAATCTGAATTTTCTGTTTGCTTCGCTGGGCTGCTGCCTCACTTTGCGGTTTGGGAGTCTCGTTGTTGCCTTCTTTCCCCTGGAAAAATTCCTTTGGTGTTCTCTGGGTGAAAAGATATTCTAGGGAAACACAAAATAGCATAATAATGATAAAGTAGATAACTGTGGGGGTTTGTCACAAGTGCTGCATTGTGCACTGCATGGAATGACTTTAAAGATTCAGCTGGTAGCTTTATTTCCCTTAAATAGGAAATATTCACCCTGACTTCTTAATGTGTCATTATTTATTTTTGCAACGCAAAACCCAGTTCACTCTGCTTTCTTGGGTGAGTGTTTTATTGCCACAATTACTGCCTTTCTCTCCTTGCAGATTTTTCATTATCAGTCCGTCCCACACCCCACAACCGCGGGGAAGTTCAAAGACAGGATCTCCTGGGTTGGGAATGTTGCTAATGGTGATGCTTCCATCGCTATCCAAAGCCCAGAGCTCAGTGACAACGGCACTTTCATCTGCAGCGTGAAGAACCCTCCAGACGTTTATCACAACATTCCCCAGACGCTGCTGCTGGTTACAGAGAGGGGTAAGGCTCCCTGCCCAGAATTTGGCCTCACCCATGCGACAGAGCTTCTTTGTGGGATCCTGGAATTCTGAGAGTCACATGGAAAAGGCTCCCTGGACTTCCCACGCTGGAGTTTCAGCAGAGGTTACCTCAGCCCTGCTCTCTGAGCTCAGTGCTTTGAGAGCTCGTGAATTGATTTGGGGCAGGAAGGGACAGGGGGAGCTGTGGTGATAGCAGGAATCAAAAGTGTCTCTTTGTTCACAAGTTTCAGCCTCCGCAAATTGCGGCAGAACAAGTTAAACATTGAGGAAACGCTGGCCTAAAAATAATCTCCACATCACAAGAGCTGATTGTCAGTAATAATTTCCTCATCTGCCCTGTGTGCCAGCCCTGCCCCAAATTCCCAGCTCAGCTGCGCTGATAGAACTGTGTCGTGCCCTGCCTTCTTCTGCAGCTCCCTCCATCTGAGCCTGCCTGGGCTGGCTTTGGGGACAGCAGAGCCCTGCAGGTGTGGGGACAGGAGCCCCACAGGTTTGGGGACCACAGGTTTGGTTCCAGGAGCCCCACAGGTTTGGGGACCACAGTTTTGGTTCCAGGAGCCCCACAGGTTTGGGGACTGCAAGTTGGGGACAGGAGCCCCACAGGTTTGGGGACTGCAAGTTGGGGACAGGAGCCCCACAGGTTTGGGGACCGCAGGTTTGGTTCCAGGAGCCCCACAGGTTTGGGGAGCAGATGACAGGAGCCCCACAGATGTGGAGACAGGCTGTTTCCAGTCTGCCAGCCCTGTGTTCCACGTGGAAGGGCCACCAAGCTGTGCCCTGGCTCAGTGTTTGTCCTAGGGGCTCAGCCAAGCTGTCTCACTGGGTTTCAGGCCTGGTCTTCCAGCTGACCTCAGCAGCTCTGCTGTCCATCTTGGTGTTCCTCCCTTCTGCCCTCGTGGTCATTCTGCTGCTGGTGAGGATGGGGAGGAAATTCCGGGTGCTGAAGGAGAAAGGAAAATGTGGCTACAAGAAATCCTCCATCGAAGTGTCTGATGAGTAAGTCCTGGCTGGAGCCTGTATTTCCACTTTGGGGTGTTGGCCCAGGCACGAGGGATGATTTCCCCACTGGCCTTCAGCACAAACCAACTGCAGTTTGGTCACTGGTGTCTGCTGCTCAGCCAGCAGGCAGAAAGCTTTGGGAAATCTCCGTGCTGGAGCACAAACCGAGTGCTGCACATCCCCTTTTCTCTGTCCTTCGCGTGAGGAATGCCAGGGAACTGAAGCAGTTCAGGGTCAGACACATTTCACTTCTGTCATGAGGTTTGTTGGAGCCTGAGTCAGCAGCATGTTTTGAGTGTGTGAGCTTTGTGTGCTGTGTTTTGGGGTGAAGGCCCCATAACAGCAAAATAAACCCAATAATGTGGTGGCCTGAGCAGAGATGCCAGGTACTGAAGGAGCCTCAGAGACTGAACTCTCTTCTGCTCAATTCCCTGCAGAATAATTTGTTTTTATTGCAGTCATTGAATGTTTTGATTGGAGAGGTGAGATTTGCCAGTCAAAAAGCAACTTTTGTTTTAATCGTTGTGGCACTTAAGTGCCACCTTCAAAATGAGGCATCTGGCAGCTTTCAGACCTTTTGGCTGTGCTGAAAAACCTCCAGTTCCTTGGGGAATGACCAGAATTCACAGTCCAGAGGAGGTACTGGAATGTCTGGGGGGAAAAGTCCAACCTGATCCTGTGCTTTTCCTGCAGGCCTGAGCACACAGACACAAGCTGCTGCAGGGGCAAAATCAAGGAGTGGTGCCTGAACTGTGTGGTAAGTGCAAGTTGGAGTTTGGCACAGTTTGGGTGCTCAAAGAAGGTGCTAAGAGCAGCAGGTAGAGTGTCCTAACACCTCTGGCTGTCCAAAGTGTGCCCCAAAGGCTCCTCAGAGCTTCCCAGCTGTAGGGAGCGAGAGCTGCTGGTTGCACTGGTGGGGAAGCTGTCATGGGATGCATCAAACTGATTTTTGATTTGACTTGATTGGAATCAGAGCTGTCATTTTAAGCTGACAAATCAGGGCTGAAGTGCCAGCTGCTGTGGGGTTTCTTTAGGGGAAGTTTGGGGTTGGCAGTGCTGGGGAAGGCAGGCCCCTCAGCCCTCTGTGTTTTTGCAGAGGTGGTGGAGATCTTCCTCCTTTCACCTCATTCCGACAGAGCATTGCTAAACCCTCGCAGTTTGTTTGTTTCTGCTTTTTGTTTGTTGTGCTCTCTGAAGTGGTGGCTGCCCTCTAATTCTGCTGCTTCCCTTCCCACCCCAGCAGCAGCTCCTGTTCATCGGGTGCCTCGTGCTCCAGCTCCTGGGTGGTTTTGCCCTTGCTCTGTGCGAGTCCTGTGAGCTGGGATCGGCATTCCAGAGTAATTCCAATTCCAGAGGGCTTTCCTTCTTTCCCAGTGTCCTACAGAGCAGATTTACCTCAGGGGCAGCTTTGCCTCTCATGTACGCAGTCAGGACGTGAGTTAAGGAGGATTTAAATATGTGTTGCACTCTCCTAATGCCAGTGATTTAAAATGTCCTAAATGCCCAAGCCTTCAGACAGGCGCGTGCTGATGGTTTCTATTAGATACAGGATGAAAAACAGGCAATTATGTAAGTTGTACATAAAATATTTACAGTTCTGCATGAGACGAGGCAGGCACAGAGCTGCAGGGTTGGGAAGGAGGTTTTGGAGAGGTGCAGGAAGTAGGAAATGCCTCCTGCCAAAGGCAGAGTTGCCTCAGGAGGTGGAAGGGCTGTTCCAGGTGACGTTCCGGGAATCTGGGAGGTGCCAGGAGGAGAGACAGGGAAGGATGGAGCTCCAGTTTGGTGAGGAAATGCTGCCAGGACATGTGAGACCTCAAAAACTGAAAAATGTCCTCTCATCCTTTGGGAGGAGTCAAATTGGAATGATAAAATCCTGCTGCTTTCATGTAGAGTGTTTTGTCAGGTTTGATCCTTTGCTGTCTGATGTTGAAATATTTATCTGCTGCCCTCTAACGATTCTGCATTTTTGAGGTTTCTCTAATGCACTTTCTCATGCTTCATACGTGACCAAACAATTAAAATTGCAAAGCCAATGGAAAATCTCTTTAGACTGGAGATGTCTGGAGCGTCAGTGAGATTTTGCTTGCAGAGCTGAGGAGTTTGGGTGAGCTCCCAGCTCGGAGCTGCAGAGCTGCTTGTGGGGACACCACCAAACGAGAGCTGTGGTTACAGCAAGCACAGCCTTCTGAAAGGGGGTGCTTGTCAGCCTGGCAAACAATAATTTGTGCTGCTCACTGCTGTCTCTGCAGGGTAGTGCTGCACTTTCTGGTTCATCTTGAGCTGCTGCTTCTCTTAAAATGCATTTCACGTGTGGGTTATGGCGTGGTGATTGTGTCTGGGAGAAGTCAAAGAGATTTAGTGCTTTTATTTATGTGTATATTTATATTTATACCAGTGTTTTTGTAAGTCCCCTGGCTTGTTCAAGCACAGCAGCATTTTAGGGAAGCATTTAGGCTCTTGCCAGAACCCAACCCATGCTCAGCACTTGGCTGAACTCATGACTTGATACTTTTCTTCACACATAATCTGTTTCTCCTCATGTTCCCTGCTTAGGACACAGATGAGGAAGATCCTTACTGATGGAAGACTGCAGCTGTGGAAAAAGACTAAAATTACAGCACTGAAAATCATGGTTAGATCCTTCCAGAGGCTGCTGGATAACCAGTGCAGATTGATGGGCGTGCTCTGCTCTCGGTGGATTGGAAGAATAATGCTGATGGAATAATTCACTCCTATTTAAGCACAAAATAATGATTTTCTAAAAATCTTTCTAATTTATTGGGGAAAAGAAAATCTCTTGCCCTCAGATGTGCAGGGCCTACAGAAGCCCCAGTGCCTACAGTGCCAATGTGCCTTGGTTTTCCTACAAATTGGTTTGGTTTACTGGTTTGATTTTTTTGGTGACATCCCTCTTTTTCTGAGCCCTGCAAATCCAGCTTTTTGAAGTGAAGGCTTCTCCAGTTCTCTGGGCACTGACAAGGTTCATCTTCAGGTTTTTTGGAACTTACTGACTCACACCAGTTTGATGAAGTGATATCTGGCATCCTCTGTCTTGGAGTGAAGAGAACCTACTGCTTTTGAAGTGTTTTTTTATTCAGCTGCATCACTGGGTGCCTCTCCTTCTTGGAGAAGTGAAGCACAATTCATAGAAAACGATTTTTTTTTCCTTTTTTTAAATCAGAAATGCAAATGGGGACTCTGTTTCTGGGGACACACAACCCCATCTACCTCAGCCACGGACTCAAGCACTGCCCAAAGGAATGTTCTGTTTGCAGTAGTTGTTTTCTTCCTCCCTTCTTCTAGGACCCATTTTAGGGAAATGGTTAATTGTGCAGCATTACTTCCCCTCAATGGAGGGCATTTCCTCTTTCACCAGCCTTATCCAACAATGAATGGCAGAGAGCAGTGGAATTCATTCACTCAATCCCTAAAAAGCTGTTTTCTTTCTGTATCAGTTAAATATTCTCCTTTAACAGATGTGCTCCAGGTTTACTGTTGATTTTACTGTGCAATTACTAATAAATTGCATTATTCCATTCTGGGCTGTGTGTCTCTTTATTTGGTTAAATACAGCTGAACTCATAAAACTGCCTTCCTGATGTGTGAAAATTGTCATGTGATGATGGGTTAAGGTTTTTAGGGAGCAGATTTAACCCAAAAGGGAGCAGCCACCAGGTCCCCCTTCAGCATCTCTGCTGGCTGCAGCTTCCAGGTGTGGTGAAGCTCTCACTGAGAAGTAGGTCAGCTCTAGATCTGGGCTTCCAGATAAATGCATCTTTCTCCTGTCTACTATAAAGCAATATTTAAAATGTTTGTGCTCCCTGGTGACACAACATCTGTCAGCCAAAACTTTCCTGGGAAAGGCTGGTGCTGGGATCATGCAGCCCGGGGGAAGTGGCTTTGCTGTTCCACTCCCAGCACTCACACCCCACACAACTCCCCTGGGCAGCCAACGGCTCTCTTTGTGCTGCAAAATGTGGATTTCAGCTCTGGCTCCTTGGCCATGGGCGTGCTGGATCCTGGGCAAATATTCCTGGTGAGCTGCAGCCTTGGAGCTGTGAATGGTGCTGAGCTTTCTCTGCTATGGAAACTTCTTGGTATGGAAACTTCCTGGGATCGAGAGCAGTGGGATGCTGGGATGGAGAGCAGTGGGATACTGGGATGGAGAGCAGTGGGATGCTGGCATGGAGAGCAGAGGGATACTGGGATGGAGAGCAGTGGGATACTGGGATGGAGAACAGTGGGATGCTGGCATGGAGAACAGGAGCTGCTCTGGTGTTTCGAGGAAAGAGGAAGGATGAAAATGGGTGTTCAAAGTGGCCAGGGGGGTTGCACCAGAGGAAAATCAGCAGCTGGTGTGTGTTTCAGAAGGAGGCAGCTGCCCATGCTGCACCAGGCAGGTTCAGGGGCCCTGGCAGCAGCAGGAGGGAGGCACAGCCACGTCACCCAGTGCTGCTGCTGCTGCTGCCTCGCTGGGACAAGACCCAGGTGCAGCAGTGGCAGTTCTCTAATCAGCTCTGATCCCCAAAAACAAAGCAGGAGGGAGCACAGGGTGTGAGCCAGGAACGTCAGTGTCCTGGACTGGTCATGGTGAGAGGTCAGGCCAGTCCCTCACAGGGACTGAGCCCCAGCTCATCCTGTCAGGTGCCTCCTGAAGCTGCCCCATCGCCCCTGCTTCAGACAGATGCATCTGCAGTTGGTTTCCCCTCTCTGTTGCACATCCTGATTTGTTGTTCTGCTTTCTCTTGCGTGTGAAAGTGACCACCAGACTCAACCTTAGAGAAGGAACCAAAGGCTGCCAAGGAAGATCTTGCATATGCAACCTCAAGATGATTTAGCAACTGTTTCACGTACTCTGACCCAGTCGCTGAAGAGCCCTTCGTGCAAGACAAGCTGACCTCTCCAGGCCACGCTAGGTGAGTATTTTTTGCTGTAATACTTATTTCTGGATGTTTTTTTTCATTTGTTTTTCCTGAGAAGAGGACCAGGGGAGCAGAAGTGCTGTCGACTCAGATGCCACGTGCAAAAGCAGGGAAGGGTGAAGGCCACGTGGTGTCTGTGCCCCTTTTCCCCCAGTGTGCTTGGGAAAGGCGATTTGGATGTGTCAGCACTGGCACACACAGAGCAGCCTGGTGAGTGGGTGCTGGCTCCAGCTGGTGCCTCCCAGCACCCTCTCACTGCTGTGTGTCACAGGGGGAGATCCTGCAAAAATGTGTTCCTGGGCAGGACCAGAAATCCTTCTCCAAACCAGGGCAATAAACCCAGCAAGGACTTGGTGGCAAATAGGGCCCAGAGCCCCAGCTCAGCTCTTGGAGGTTCTGGGTATAGAAATCTCAGCTTTTCACAGCCAAACAGGACTGGGTTTTGAGCTGGTTGCTGCTTTGGCTGCTGTACAGGGGTGCTCCTGGGAGGGTGCAGCTCTGCAGGTTTTGGCAGTGTCTCTGGGAAAGCAGGATGCTGTGCCTGCTGCCCTGAGCTATGCTGCCCTGAGCTGAGGGCCCTGGGGCTGAGCAGGAGCTGTGTTTGTAGGTCGGGTGTGCACCAGCGCGGGCTGTGCAGCCAAGTGTGTCACGGCAGAGCTGCACAGAGCACAGCAAACCACACAAAAACCCAGCCCCAGAGGGGTCCTGTGCTTTGAGAGGCAGATGGGAGAGAATTCCAGAAGGTTTGCTGCCACTTCTCAGGATATGCTTGTGGAAAGGGCAGGGTGATGAAGGTACAAAGCTGTAGTGATTTTCTCAGCCTAGAACTGATCCAAGGATCCCCAGCAGCTGATTCTGGGCCTGGAATCCCTGCCTGAGGCTGAGCTGGAGAGCCTATCACTTGCACAATGGAGCAAAAAGAGAGAAGCCACCAAAAATGCCAGAGATGACTCAGCTCTTGTCCTTCTATTTCATTTCTGAGGTGTTAGAAAATACGTGCTGGTAATGGCAGCCTCAATTCCAGCTTCACATGAGGGTTCTTCAGACGGGAGAGCTGCTCTCAGTAACTATTTACCCTTAAATGAATGGGACAGGGCAGCAGGGAGGCTCTTGCCTTCCTTTGGACACTGGCTGGCACATTCCTGGTGGTGACAGCCGGTCCTTCCCTGGGCTGCAGGATAAATCTACGATGCACAGAAGGGAGATGTCAGCTTTATTCTGAGAGATGTGGAGCAGGTCAAGCTGAATCCAGAGACCAGATATGGTGCTGCTCCAGCAGAGCTTCTCACCATGTGCAGCACCCAGGGGCAAGGATTTAGGTCTGGGGTAGGGGCTCTGTGTTTTAGGACCAAACTTCTCTGATTCTGTCATATTAAAACCATCTGATTGCTCTGGGGGCAGAGTCAACCTGCAAACATCTTGGCTCAGATGTCAGAGGCTCGACCCCCAAACCACCGGAAAGATTCGTGACTTAGGGGAAAACACGAAGGGGTTTAGGCTGAGCTCTCTCCCCCACGTTCCTCTTCCTTTCCAGGCTCAGTGTGGTCTCACAAACCAGAGCCCCGGTCTCTGCCCTCTGTGCTGTGCTGACTTTCAGCCTCCCAGCCTCAGAGGCTGCACACCAGAGTCTTCCTCTGACCTTGAGCTGGCTGCCAGTCCTTGGTGTCCTGCCCCAGGGGACACTGGAACACTGTCACCTCTGCTGTTCTTTTCAGAGGGAGATGAAGGTGCTGCTGAGCCTGACCCTGCTGCTGACATGGCTGGGTAAGCTCTCAGTTTTATTCCCCTCTGCTTTCCCCTCTGCCTTTGCTCTAAGAGCCATCAGGGTCTCTGCTCCCGTGGTGAGAAGCTGCTCCTCTCTGGGGTGCCAGTCCCTCCTCTGGCCCTGTGTGTTCTGCATCTCCCCTTCCTGCAAACCACCCCTATACACAGGCTGCAAACTGCACTGGCACCCCTGGATGTGTCCTCTGTTGAGGCTCCAAGGCTTCGAGAGAAGCAGGACTGCTTCACCAACTCTAAATACAAGGAGAGGTTTCCAAGGTACTGATTTTGGCTCTGCTCGAGGCAGGCAGCTCCCTTGGTCTTCTCTGCTGGCAAATATTTGTCATTTCCAGCTCCTCGGCTGGTCAAGACCAACAGAACTTGTTTGGGAAGCTGCAGCACTTTGCATTCATTGTTTACAGGGTTTCAGACGAGCACTTGGTGCTTGGCCAGGGCCCAGCCCTCGGTGGCTGTGGACAGGCTGAGCAGAGTGGCTCGGCCACGAGGATGAGCATACCTGTCTGAGCAGCTCCCCGCTGAATCAGCTCAGCAAAGAGCAGCCAGAGCCTCAGCCTCCCCTTGCAGTGCCACTGCAGGCTGAGGCAGGGCAGGTTGAGGAGCTCCAGTGACATTTTCTGCCCCACTCGTTTCAGAGAATCTTTTAGTTCAGATTCAGTTCAGATCCTTTAATCCCCTTCCTGCCGCACTCTGCAGCCCAGCGAGCTGGCAGCCGCTTCGTGCTGGTTGTCAGCCCTGTGCTCTTTGATGTTCCCCTGGTTTGCTTTTTTTCCCACTGTCCAGCTTCTCTAGAAACCCCAAGCTGTGGTTATGTGGCCAGACATGTACTTGCAGCCCAGGTCTGGAGCCTGTGAGCAAAGGGGAAGGAAGCCAAATGGGCAGTGAGGGAGGAACTGAAATTCCTGTAAATTGCCCCTGGCCTGGTACAGATGAGAGCGGCACAGGTTCTCCCAGCCAGTGACTCACAGGCACAGCCCTGCAGGAGCTGCAGGCTTTGGCTCCGAGGCGTGGAGGGCAGGGGTTGTGCTTCCAACTCCCCTTCGGCTGGATCACACGGCAGCAGCCCTTGGTGTGGAGGATGTGCTGCCCCACATCCCAGGCACGCCACGAGCAGGGGTCAGGCACGGGCTCGGCCTCTGCACCGGTCAGGGCTGCGAGCCCCAGGCTTCCCCGGAGAGGAGATAGCGATGGGGACAGGCAGGCTGCACCTGGCCGTCCTCCCTGGGCTCATCGTGCTGTCCTTGTCCCCGGCAGAGCGCTGCAGCGGGGCTGCAGGGGTGTTCATGGAGCCTCAGCTCCGAGCTAGGGCCGGAGACTCTGTGCTGCTGCCGTGCCTCTTCCTAGACCCCGAGAGCAGGGGATGGACCCTGCACAAAGTGGACTGGCTGCACAAGGCAGGAGCCGGCGCTCAGGTGGGTCGGGACAGGGGTGGCAAGGGAGGGGACACGCTGTCGGTGGCAGGGGAAGGAGGGTGAGGAAGCCGTGGGGAGGATGTGGGGAAGCCCATCCGCCAGGCCACGAGGAGAGGAAGTTTCCATGAGTGGAAGAAGGGTCCCCGTGTGGGGCAGGACCCCTCGGCACGGCTGCTCTGGGTGCTGCGTCCCGGGGCTTTCCCCGAGAGCGCTCCGTGCGAGGAGAACACCACGGGACAGGGAGAGAGCTGAGAGCTCCTGAGAAGGGACAAGCACCTGACACCCTTCACCCGCCGCCGTCTGGCAGGAGGAGATGGTGTTTTTTTACTACAGCAACCACGCCGTCCCCGCGGGCCGCTTCAAGAAGCGGGTGCAGTGGCGGGGGAACATCTCCCGCTGGGACGGCTCCATCCTGCTGCAGGACCTGCGCGTCCACGACAGCGGCACCTACGAGTGCGAGCTGCGGCTGCTGCAGAACAGCAGCGTCTTCAAGAGCCGGACGGTGCTGCTCGTCAGCCCGGCCCCGAGAGGTGCGCCCCGCCGCTGCTCCCCGCTCCTCCCGCATCCTCCCGCATCCTCCAGCATCCTCCCGCATCCTCCCGCATCCTCCAGCATCCTCCAGCATCCTCCCGCATCCTCCCGCGGCTCCGCGGCTCCCCGCGGTGCCATCTCTCGCTGTCTCCCCGGCAGGACGAGAAGCAGCGGCTGCCGAGGATGCCGCACAGCCCCCGAGAGACTCCGGGTTCTGGCCGGCGGTGGTGGGCTGTGGCTGCGTGGCCGTGGTGGTGGCGTTCCTGGCCGGGCTCTGCGTGAGGAAGAGGTACCAGCGCTGGCTCTGGGTTTGCGGGGGTGAGGAAGCACCTCCCTGCAGCCCTCCTGCGCTGCTCTCCCTGGCCAGGCTTTGCCCAGGTGCTCTCAGGTGTGAGGGTTCAGCTCCCCAGGTGTGGGGTGCAGCCTCCTGACGCCATCTAGTGTCACCCTGGCCCGGCCGGCGTCCCCTCGGCTCCCAAACCCCCCGGGATGTGCCAGCAGCAGGGGTAGCCTGGCCCAGGCATGTGCAAAGGGATGTCAGTGTCCCGGGAGAGGGAGGGTGGGACAGGAGGAGCAGGTGAAGCTCCTATGGAGGTGACACTGCTGCTGCCTTCCCTCAAGGTTTGCAACCATCACAGCCCTGGAGAGGATGGGGAACAGCAGCAGCAAGAACAAAGCAGAGGTGAGAGCTGAGGCTGGAGGGGTCCCTGGGGTTGGGTGTGTGTGCTCAGGGCTGGGGAGGCCAGGGGAGGGGATCCCGCACTGCCCAGGCACGAGGGGTCCTGGCCAGCTCCAGCCGTGGCTCTTGTTGCTTGCCCTGTGACTGGGGTCAGGCAGCCCCTGTGTGTTTGGGGGCTGCTCGGTTCCAAACACCCTGCTCCGCCCCGGCAGGAAGCGATTTACTCCTCAATCCCCGGAGCTGAGGTACCCAAGGCTGAGCAGGAAGCAAAGAAGAAGAGGAGAGCTGAGGACACGTACATAACCATGGTGAGGAGCTGCAGCAGGCGTGGCGGGGCCCCCACATCACTGCCCCCCTCACCAGGGTCGCAGCATCCAGGGACTCACTCCCTGTGCCAGACCAGCGTCCCGTGCCATCCAAACACACCCTGGTACCCGTGCTGGGGCTCACACCCTGCCCCTTGCTCCTTGCAGCACCCCTCTCACGGCCGCGACAACGGAGTCTACGTGGAGCTGGCCAAGAGGGCGATCCCGACGGAATGGATGGCAGAGGGGACACAGGGAGATGGGCAGAGCCAAGAGCCCCCCAGCAGGTCCGGGGAGGCACTCCCCCGGCCTCCAGAGCAGCAGAAATAGCTGTGCTGAGGGATGGCAGCCCCTTGTCCAGGTGTGTCCTAAACACCTTTGTCCCTCTGAGGACTGAGAACCGGTGACATGTCACTGTGTGCCCTGTGCCAGGGCACTGCTGGGGCACAGCCCACCCCAGCTGTCTGCAGGGGACCAGGGGACACCTGTCCCTCCGGCTCTTGCCCCCTGGACTCCGAAGAGAGTGGGCACAGCCTCAGGCTCCAGCTTTGGTCCTGGCCCAGGATGAGGATCTCCAAGGGGGGAGACGCAGCGGGAGCCGTCATGGTATTTTTCTGTAGATAATAAAACTCAGGGAGTCTTCCATCAGTCTTCCCTGATCCTGTCTTCGTTTTACCTCCTGCCTAAGCATGTGATGTCCAAGTGTGCCAAAACCTGCCTGGCCCGGGGCCTGGGAGCCCCTGAACACACGTTCAGCCTCGCACGGGGCACCTGCCAGCTCCAGGCAGGAGCAAAGCCAAACGGGACAAAAAAGGGTTCCCTTGGGAGCAGGATGGGGACTGAAGGAAGCAGGACAAAGCCTGCGGACCGTGGGGTCCCCCACGTGTGTCCCTCGGCCATGAGAGAGCAGCCGGGTGATGGGCAGCGCTGGCCAGGGGGAGCCCAGCCATCCCCCCCGGGCCCCCGGGGCAGCGCCTGGGCGGGCGCTGGCGCTGCTCCCGCTCTATCTCTGGCTGCTGGGCGCTATCTCTGGTGCCGGGCGCTATCTATAGATGTTTGACACCTCCAGGTGCGGAGGGAGCCGGGACCCTCCACCTCCCACCGCTGCCGGCACACTGCAGCGCCGCGCTGCGCTCCTTGGTTCTCGTTGACACCCTGCTCTCTTTTCCCGCAGGCAGCCGCGGGACGGCATTTAGGAGGAACCAGCCCCCGGAGCTGGATTTGGGGGCTCGGGGCATCCCACAGGGCCTCTGTGGGGTCGTGGCAGTCGTAGCAGCAGAGCAGAGCGGGCTTTGCCTGCCCAGGACGGGTGGGAAAGTGCTGAGCGTGCAGTGTTTGCAGAGCAGAGCTGCTGGGACGCTCCCGTGCTTTCTCTCCCGGCTGTCCTGCCTCCCTCCTGACCCTGGCGAGGCAGCAGAGCCCCTCTGCATCCCTCCTGTCCCCCCCGAGCTCTGCTGCACGGGAACCAAGGTGTGCCCCGGCTCTGGGGCATTGCCTGCCTCTCTCCCCAGTGATGCTGTCCCAGCAAACGCCACCACCCCGTGTCCCAGGGCCTGAGCAGCTCTGTCGCTGCCTCTCTGGTCTCCAGGAGGTCACGCCTTGTCTTCCCTGCACCCATCTCTGCAGCTGGAATCCAGGTTTGGAGCCCAGGGCCCAAAGGCTTCTTGACCGACGGTGCAAAGGGGACCAAAGACTTTCTCCAGCCCTGTTACTGCTGGGCAGAGCCTCCCCATCCCGGAACTGGCTGAGGAGAGGTGTTATCCTGGGAGAAGATGCTGCTGGAGAAGGGGAAGGAGCCTCCAGCAGATTGGCAGCCCTGGGCAGTGATGGAGCTGTCCGGGAGCGGGCAGGTGACCAGGAGCACCTCCACCTGCTGCAGCCTACCTGAGGCATCCCGGCTGGGCTGCTCGGGCCCCTCTGCTGTTCCCAGCCTGGAGCAGCCCCTCTGCTCTCTGCCTGCCTCTGCGAGGGCATTTCCAACCCTCCCGGGCCCCTCTGGGCTCTCCAGAACGGGAACAGCCACCGCGGATGGTGCGAGCAGGGCTGGCCGCCAGCCTGCACAGGGGACACAGCTGCATGTCCCCACTGCCCCCGGGGGTCTGGGGGCCGCAGGAGCCCACCGTGTGCCACAGAGCAGGGAGCCGGCAGTGCCAGGAGCTGTCGCCTGCAGTTCAGGGGAAAATTTTTCCGCCCTCCCACTCCGGCGGCTGCAATCCACCAACCACAGCATTTACTGCTTTTTTTCGCCCCAGCACCGCTCCAGCCATATTGGGCTGTGGGGAGAAAGCGGCTCTAATGTTCTATGTCACCTGCAAATAACCCGGGCGTTCGAAAAAGCACCTCCACCACCTCCACAATCCACACCAACACCACGTCCTCTCCACACACAAAAGTCCGTCAAAATGAGCCCGGAAGCCTGGCTCCCGCAGCCCACCTTGTTCCTCACTGGCCTCACCTTGCTCCTCTCGCTGGGTAAGTGTCGGCTTGAGCCCCCTTGCATGTGCCCAGGTGGGGAGACACCCGTGTCCCCGGCCAGGACCCCCCGTGTCCCGTGTGCCGGCCCCGGGAAGCGCCGTGCCGCAGGGATGGGGACGGAGGTGGTCTGGCGTGTGCCCTGCCGAGAGCCACCAGCCAGGGTGACCTGCTTTCGTGCGGGGTGGGGGGTATGGTGCCTCTCCTCCTAAAAACGGCCCGCATCCTGCTGGCTGGCTGCGGAGCGCAGAGCCCTTTGCACGCCAGGCGGAGGAGAGGGCTGCCGTGGGCACGGGGCTGGCAAGGTGCGGGCAGGTGGGCTGTGCTGGCTTGTGCCTGTCCTTTGGGGTGCTGGCAGGTGGGCTGTGCTGGCTTGTGGCTGTCCTGCGGGTGCTGGCAGGGGTGCTGTGGCTGTCCCTGTGGCTGTCCCTGGGCTGGTGGCCGCGCTGGGGGCCGCGGTCCGTGCGCGCTGCCCGGCCCCGCCGCAGCCGCGCTGTGTCAGCAGCTCCGCATCGATCGCGGCCGGGAGCGCACCGCTCCTTTGAAGTGCTGTCCTGGAGCTCCTGATGGGCTGCTTTTCCCCGAGGAGAGAGCCTGGGAAAGGAGGGTACAAAACCTAGTCAGGGCTGCTGTAGAGGCTGCTGTAACCGTACCCCCCCCCAGCCTGGGTGCAGCGTGACGGAGCGTTTGGGAGTCTGCGCAGCGCCGCAGGACGCGGCCTGGACGGTCCCTGGGGTTTCAGGGGTTTATTCCCCCACCTCTGTTGTCCCCCAGGGCTGAGTGCCCGGCCAGTGGCAAAGTTTGGACCCACACACATGGGTGCTCCCAGGTCCTGCCAGGCCGTGGTGTCATAGGTTTGCTGCTGGTGGCACCTCATCCCTCTGTAGAGCCCTGGGGAGCCCCAAGGACAGGGGACAAGGCCACTCACCCACCTGCAGGCTCACTGGGCATCATGTGAGGGGCACTCAGATTCCACGCAGGGATCCCCACCAACCATTCTTGCCGGCTCCTGCCTCTTCTCTCCCATCCCTGCAAGGTTTTCTTGGAGGCATCAGAGGTGGTGGCTGCCACTGGGCAACAAGGCTGTGGCACTGGATCAGGACACCTCTTCCTTGGGTGCTGTGACTCGTCCCCAAGCTGTGTCCACCCCTGTGTCCCTGAGCCCTCCCTGCACTGGGGAAGGATGGAGGTCGTTCCCCACGGCTGCCAGCAAAGCAAGGAGCCGTCCCCAGGGCTTGGCCATAGCCGAGGGCACTGCTCTGTCCCCAGGGAGCTTCAAAGTGCTGCTGGTTCACACCAGGCAGTGGGAGCTGGGGCTCAGCAGAGCTGTACCTGCAGCTTGGGAAGGGCTCTCGTCCCTGGCTGCAGAGCCTGGCCCCTTTCCTGCCCTGCTTGCAGGCGGAGCGCAGCGGCCAGCGGAGCAGCCCTGATATGCACCCAGCTTGGCCTCGGGAAGAAGGTTTGAGAGCAAAGAGCAGCAGCCCAAGGGGAGAGGTGAGGTGATCATAAAAGCACCTGGTGGCAGTGTTACTGTGCCTGCCCTGTAGGGTGTCACGGCCCCCCAGGACACACTCTGTCCCTCCCAGGGCTCCCTGTCCCCACGTCCCTGTGCTTGTCAGGGCTCAGCCTCGTGTTTGCAGCCAGCCTGGCTGCACAGGAGCCTGGTCCCCTTCCCCAGCCTGGGGACAGGTGCTGGATGCAGGTGCTGGGTTTGGGTGCTGCTGTGGGGAGCTGCAGGGAAGGAGTGGAGGAGGGAGCAGGGCACACACATCCCATCCCTGCCCACTCCCCAGGTGATTCCTGCCCTGCGAGCTGCACCAGGTAATGCCCCTCTGTACCAGCAAGGCCAGGGATCAGGGAGTGGCCTCGTTTCCCCAGCAGCGACTAGGATCTTGCTCTGGTCATTCCCAGCTGGAGAATCCTTGCGTGGGCACTGCTGGCAGGGGAAAGCATCTGCATTCCCCCCGGAGCCCCTGGGGCCGGGCCTGGCAGATCCCAGCCCTCGCTGCTGCCGTAGCTGTGTCCTGCTGGGAATGAAATGTGATGAGCTCAGCCATAAATTTGCGTGTGGCTGTGGCGCCGGGCCCCGCGTGCTGACGCTGCAGCCTCGCACAGCGCCATCGATCCCGCAGCAGCACAGCCTCGGGGGACGGCCGGGAGCAGGGCTGGCCTGCAGGCAGCAGCGTTCGGCAGCAGGGATGCCACAGGAGGGTCACCAGCCCTGGCAGAGCAGGGACGGTGCTCTTCCTGTCCAGCCAAGGGACGGTGCCAGGGCTGGGGCTGCTCCCCTTGTTCCTGCTGGGCAGGGACATTCCGGTCCTGGCTGGATGCAGAGCGTGTGGATGTGCCTGGCAGGCGATGCCAGGCCCCAGGGAGAGCTCTGTGCAGGCAGGGCAGCACGGGGACGTGGGCTCAGCTGCCAGGATGGCTGCCTGTGACACCCCCCAAATTCATCGCAGCACCCCCAAGACTGGGCATGGAGGTCATGGCCCCTGCCATCATCAATGCCTTGAATGGCTCCTCTGTGAAGCTCTCCTGCACCTTCAACTCCTGCTACAAGGTGGAGAACAAGCAGTTTTCCCTCAACTGGACGTACCAGGAGTGCAGTAACTGCTCGGAGGAGCTGGTGAGTCTCGCTGGGGATCTGCTGGGGGTCCTGGGACCAGCTCAGAGGGTGTTGCTCGGGGTTTCTTACAGGGCAGCACGTGCAGGGAGGGGGTGCCTGGCTGGGAAATGATTGCCCTGGGGTGCCGAACGCTGCCTCAGCTGCTGTCCCCGTGGCTGCCCAGTTCCTGCAGTTCCGCACCAAGATCATGAACAAGCAGCTGGACCGCTTTGGGAACCGCGTGGAGTTCACCGGCAACCCCGCCAAGTACGACGTGTCCTTCACCCTCAAAAACGTGCAGCTGGAGGACGAGGGCACCTACAATTGCTACGTGCTGAACCCCCCGGACCGGCACCGGGGCCACGGCAAGATCAGCCTGAAGGTGCTCACCAAAGGTCAGTGTTCCCCTGCGCTGCAGGGCACCCATGGGTGCGGGGCTTGCTCCCAGAGCCCTGAGCCCGTGCCCTGTGTCCCCAGAGCTCCCGAAGCACGACTCAACAGTGGCCGTGATCGTGGGCGCCTCCGTGGGCGGCTTCCTGGCCGTGGTGATCCTGGTGCTGATGGTGGT